AGATAAGTCCACTGTCTGAGGCTACGAGAAGGTCGTTGGTGACTCTCACCAGAGCTGTTTCTGTACTGTGATGCATTCTAAATCCTGCATGAAACTCTCCAAACCAACCATTTTTGTGCAGATGGTCACAGTCGTTTACTGGTTTGATTAGAACAACTTTAAAAGCCAGCAGTACGTAGCCTCTTAATAAAGAAAGGTTGATCATGTCTCATACTGGAGTGTTAATTAAAGGAAACACATCCTTGAGGAGTCTGGTTGGGATGGGGTCAAACTGACATGTCGCTGGTTTAGAGGAAGTGACCACTGACATGAGCTCTGAGAGATTTAGAGCAGAGAAACAGTTGAAAAATAAGTCCACGGACGCTTCCAGAGCCACCGCATCTAAAGTTTCTATTCTTTGTGTGATAGTCAAAACTTTACTTGTAGAGAAGGTCATGAATTCATCACTACACAGTTCCAAAGGAATGCAAGAATCCACAGAGTCTTTGCCAGCTTGGGCATAGTGCTAAAAAGAAACCTGGGATTGTTCTTGCTTACCTCTATTAGAGCTGAATAATAGATGAAAAGCTGAAAGCTCAGAAGGTTTCCTTAATGGGCTCTTTTCTTTTTTTCCTAGATAAACAGTAGGTATTTCTCTTAAATGACCAATATGTAAGTGTTAATAAAGGAAGTGGAGTAAAAGACATGGTAATTTGACATCACATGCTGTTCACTGGACTTGCCGAGGTTCAAGAACAATAATGTATTGAATGTTCTTGAAGAATTATTAATGTGCTGTGAGGCTGGAATTTCCTGCCTGACCTTAAGATGCTGTGGCCTCCACATAACCCTTTCTCATGGTTCCTGCATAATTTATGAAATCCAGTCTAAATTTCTTTGGATTCCTATGAAAGTGACATCAGTGATGAAGCACCAAAAAGCTGACAGGGAAAATGACTCTGCATGAATAATTAAGCAGATTGAGTTTGAATTTATTTTCCGACACGTAAGTATAAGATTGACTAAGCAAAGCAGAAAGTTTGATCTGCTAGTGCCAATTATTTATTCAGGAGATGTAATTTCCTTCGAGGCAGGCATTTCAGATCATTGCACCAACACGAGGCCCACAACTGAATGGTTGAATTCGTATACGGAGTCTTTGTTCTTTAAACCAGTTGCACTTGTAACTCTGAAAACTGCAGCTTTTATAGCTCCATTCTGGCATAAGGGCAACACTTCCTGTACAGTTCTGATCAGACAGGCAGCACAGAGTCTTTTAGGAGGGGGGCACACTCATTTAG